TTTTTTTTTTACAGATGTCGGATGACATGCTATACTATGACTTTTTTTAAAATTTCGGACGACATGCTATACTATGACTTTTTTTACAATTTCAGACGACATGCTATACTATGACTTTTTTACAATTTCGGACGACATGCAATACTATGACTTTTTTTTACAATTTCAGGCGACATACTATACTATGACTTTTTTAAAAATTTTGGACGACATGCTATACTATGACTTTATTTACAATTTCGGACGACATACCATACTATGACTTTTTTTTTTCACAATTTCGGACAACATACTATACTATGACTTTTTTCATGATTTTGGACAACATGCTATACTATGACTTTTTTTTTTTTTTTTTACAGATGTCGGATGACATACTATACTATGGCTTTTTTCATGATTTTGGACGACATACTATACTATGACTTTTTTTCATGATTTCTGACGACATACTATACTATGACTTTTTTTTACAATTTTGGACGACATGCTATACTATGACTTTTTTTTACAATTTCAGGCGACATACTATACTATGACTTTTTTTTACATTTTGGACGACATACTATACTATGACACACCATACTATTACTTTTTTTTTCACGATTTCGGACAACATACTATACTATGGCTTTTTTCATAATTTTGGACGACATACTATACTATTACTTTTTTTACAATTTCAGGCGACATGCTATACTATGACTTTTTTACAATTTCGGACGACATTCTATACTATGACTTTTTTTTCATATTTTCGGATGACATACCATACTATTACTTTTTTTTTCATGATTTCGGACGACATGCTATACTATGACTTTTTTTTTTTACAGATGTCGGATGACATACTATACTATGGCTTTTTTCATAATTTTGGACGACATACTATACTATGACTTTTTTTTTTACAATTTCAGGCGACATACTATGCTATGACTTTTTTTTTTTTACAGATGTCGGATGACATACTATACTATGACTTTTTTTTAAAATTTCGGACGACATGCTATACTATGACTTTTTTTTACAATTTCAGGCGACATGCAATACTATGACTTTTTTTTACAATTTCAGGCGACATACTATACTATGACTTTTTTTTCACATTTTCGGATGACATACCATACTATGACTTTTTTTTTTCACAATTTCGAACAACATGCTATACTATGACTTTTTTCATGATTTTGGACGACATACTATACTATGACTTTATTTTCAATTTCGGACGACATGCTATACTATGACTTTTTTTCATGATTTCTGATGAGATACTATACTATGACTTTTTTTCATGATTTTGGACGACATGCTATACTATGACTTTTTTCACGATTTCTGACGACATACTATTCTATGACTTTTTCATAATTTCGGACGACATACTATACTATGACTTTTTTTTATAATTTTAGACGACATGCTATACTATGACTTTTTTTTTTTTTTTTTACAGATGTCGGATGACATACTATACTATGACTTTTTTTTACAATTTTGGACGACATACTACTATGACTTTTTTTTCACGATTTCGGACAACATGCTATACTATGACTTTTTCTTTTTTTTTTACAGGTGTCAGACGACATACTATACTATGACTTTTTTTTCACATTTTCGGATGACATACCATACTATTACTTTTTTTTTCACGATTTCGGACGACATGCTATACTATGACTTTTTTTCATGATTTCTGACGAGATACTATACTATGACTTTTTTTCATGATTTTGGACGACATGATATACTATGACTTTTTTCACGATTTCTGACGACATACTATTCTATGACTTTTTCATAATTTCGGACGACATACTATACTATGACTTTTTTTTACAATTTCAGGGGACACACTATACTATGACTTTTTTTTACAATTTCAGGCGACATACTATACTATGACTTTTTTTTTACAATTTTGGATGACATACTATACTATGACTTTTTTTTTCACGATTTCGGACAACATGCTATACTATGACTTTTTCTTTTTTTTTTTTACAGGTGTCGGACAACATACTATACTGTGACTTTTTTTCACATTTTCGGATGACATACCATACTATTACTTTTTTTTTCACAATTTTGGACGACATGCTATACTATGACTTTTTTTTCACGGTTTTGGACAACATGCTATAGTATGAATTTTTTTTTTTTTACAGATGTCGGATGACATACTATACTATGGCTTTTTTCATAATTTTGGACGACATACTATACTATGACTTTTTTACAATTTCGGACGACATACTATGACTTTTTTTTCCACATTTTCAGATGACATACCATACTATGACTTTTTTTTTTTTTTACAATTTCAGGCGACATACTATGACTTTTTTTTCCACATTTTCAGATGACATACCATACTATGACTTTTTTTTCACGATTTCACACGACATGCTATACTATGACGTTTTTTAATGATTTTGGACGACATAGTATTCTATGACTTTTTTCACGATTTTGGACGACATACTATTATTCTATGACTATTTTTAATAATTTTGGACGACATGCTATACTATGACGTTTTGTAATGATTGTGGACGACATGCTATACTATGACGTTTTTTTATTGATTTTGGACGACATGCTATACTATGACTTTTTTAATGATTTTGGACGACATTCTATACTATGACTTTTTTTTATGATTTTTGACGACATGCTATACAATGACTTTTTTACATGATTTTTGACGACATGCTATACTATGACTTTTTTACGTGATTTTTGACGACATGCTATACAATGACTTTTTTACATGATTTTTGACGACATGCTATACTATGACTTTTTTACGTGATTTTTGACGACATGCTATACAATGACTTTTTTACGTGATTTTTGACGACATGCTATACTATGACTTTTTTACGTGATTTTTGACGACATGCTATACTATGACTTTTTTACGTGATTTTTGACGACATGCTATACAATGACTTTTTTACGTGATTTTTGACGACATGCTATACTATGACTTTTTTACATGATTTTTGACGACATGCTATACTATGACTTTTTTACGTGATTTTTGACGACATGCTATACAATGACTTTTTTACATGATTTTTGACGACATGCTATACTATGACTTTTTTACGTGATTTTTGACGACATGCTATACTATGACTTTTTTACGTGATTTTTGACGACATGCTATACAATGACTTTTTTACGTGATTTTTGACGACATGCTATACTATGACTTTTTTACGTGATTTTTGACGACATGCTATACTATGACTTTTTTACGTGATTTTTGACGACATGCTATACAATGACTTTTTTACATGATTTTTGACGACATGCTATACTATGACTTTTTTACGTGATTTTTGACGACATGCTATACTATGACTTGTCTTTACGACATGCTATATAATGTTTTCTCACGATTTTGACGTGTGATAATATGATGTTTTTTCACAATTTCGAGAACGTGGTGTAGTATGACTTTTTTCGTGATTTTTGACATCATGCTGTACCATGACTTTTTGTCATGATTTAGTCTAAATGTCGTGTTACACTGTATATGTTGTAAGTAATGATGTCATACCGTTAAGCTGCTCCTGAGTGGCTGCCGTATCTCTGATCAATTCCTGTTTGTGGAGCTGGGCGTGGCTTTGCTCCTCCCTCTTTTTAGTAAGCTCCTCCTCCACCACTGACAGACTCCTTACACACACACACACACACACACACACACCAAACGGTTTTGTTTGAACAAACATTCCTCTTGATTCCTCCAGATGGTGTATTGCTGTTCGTACCTGTCAGCGTGCCTCCGTCTGGCCTCCAGGTGTTTACACTGCGCCTGCAGGCTGCTCCTCTCCTCCCTCCTCCTGCTCAGCTCCTCCTGCAGGTCCTGCACACCAAACATAATAAACAATAATCAGCACATATCAATATACCTCTTAGTCACGATGCACAATAATGAATAGCGGTTACTGTGTCTGGTTGTTTGACTGGAAGAATAAAACTGGAGAAACTGGAGTTTGTTTTCTGTTCATACTGCGACCTGTCACACATTCACTGGACAGTTTTGCACATTTCGGCAGAAAACTACAACCTATAAAAACTGCACCGCTCTTTCACTTTTTAGATATACATGTATACATAAATGTAAAGTTTTTTTGTCTCATTTTATATTTGATTATATTTGAATTTTGCATATTTTTGATTCTGCTTTCTACTGCTGTTTCTATTATGCACCAATATTCTGAAGCAAACTGCTTGTATGTGAACACCTGCTTTACTTGTCAGTAAACCAGATTCTGATTGTACTGTCTCTGTGTTTCCTGATTTTCTTTTAATAAGAAAGTTATCAAAGGCATATTAAGAGTTTTCCTAACCTCAACACGCAGCATGGATCGAATATTATTGGTTTTTAAAGAATTCTTCAGCAGCAGAGAATCAAAGAGTACACACACACACACACACACTGATGTGTGCATGACAACAGAACGATGTTCGCACAGTTTTATTCATGAAATACAAACGTACGATGTAGAAGAGATGAACTGATCCTTTTTTTGGTATCGACCCATTTGACGCTAGGATCAATTTCCAGAATGAAAACGTAGTATTGACAGTATCTATATGTTAAGATCGAGCTGTCCTCCCCTACCAAACTATGAATTACAGATTTTATTATTTTTATATGAATTTTATGTAGTTGGCAGTGAACATATATAATATCAATATCAGAAAGCTCCAGAGCGTTTTTGAGCAGGCTTTTAGCACCGGCCAAAAAACCCCAGAAACAATGAAAAACTGACTGATGGTCTGACTCCATAATTCAGTACGACACAGTTCACACAGTCTGTTCACATGTTTTCTAGCAAGAAATAATTTAATATAATAATAATAATTTAAATAATTTACTCAGATTTTAATAAAAACGTAAAAACCAACAGAGAAACCATGAACTGAAACTGAGGACGAGAATTCAGACACATAAATAACTGCATGATGTTATTTTTTAACATTTTTATCTGATGTTCTGTGAACCAGCTCAGAGACAGTTAAGAAGGTTGTTTCTAGTTTTAATATTAGAAATTTTCATTGGACGCTGTCTGTGTGTGACGCAGATCTGACTCTAGATTTCTGTAGCTTTTCTGAGAAAGTTTCAGGAACTTGTTGGTTTGTTTTTAGGAAACTATGAGACACACAAACACTTTCCCTCCTTATTAACGTGCAGTAACAACAACATGAAGGTTTTAGTGTTTTAAATATTTCCCACTGACCTGCAGGTGAGTCTGTTGTTGTTTCATCTCTTTAAGAATGATCTCTGCTTCTTTGCTGTGAGATTCAACTTCCTGTTTCAGCTCAGCCAGCTCTTCCTTCTTCCTGTCCACTTCATCCTTCTTCCTGTCCACTTCCTGCTGCGTCTTTTCCAGCTCTTCCTTCCTCTTGTTCACTTCCTCCCGTGTCCCGTCCAACTCGTCCCTCATCCTGTCCACCTCGTCCTGTAGTCTGTCCAGTTCCTCCTTCGTCCTGTCCACCTCGTCCTGCAGTCTGTCCAGCTGATCCTGCTTCCTGTGTAGCCGCTGGAGACTCTGGGTGCGTTTGGTTTTTACTTCCTCCAGCGCCTGCTGCTCTGTGAGTAACTCCTGAAGGACCTGTTTCAGATCTGGACACAAACACACACATCGAGCTGTGATCTGAGACACGAGGCTGCGGCCTCTTCATCATCGTCTGCATCAGTGTTCCTGTTAGTTTTTGTCAATGGGGGAGATGATCAAACATGGTTTCAGGTTTTTGAATGGACGTCCTGTTTCCTGGAGTTTAGGTTTACATCTCACTGCTCTTTGTCAGTTACTAAAGCCAGAAATCAGATTTTAAAGGTTCCACATGTTTCTGTCAGAAACTCTTCATGTACAGTCTGTGTCCACAGAGCTCTGCAGATTTACATTTTGGATCATCACTAAAAACAGTTTAAAAATCTGCAGACTCTGTTTGGGGCTGGTTATTACTGTGTGTGTGTGTGGTTGTGTGTGTGTGTGTGTGTGTGTGTGTGTGTGTGTGTGTGTGTGTGTGTGTTACCTGCTCTGTGTGTGTTGAGTTCAGACTGCACTGAGATCAGTCTCAGCTCGTCCTCTCTCAAAGCAGACACTGTTGAGCTCCTCTGACTCAGCAGCGCCTCCTGCTGCTCCATTAGCTCCTACACACACACACACACACACACACACACACACACAGCAGGAGGCTCAGAAACATTTCCTCTCTCCACTGCAGCATCTCAACAACCTGTAACCTGGTTCGTCCTGAACAATAATAAACAGGAAGTCGTCATGTTAAAGTTCTGTTTCAGTGATGTCAGCTGGAGTGAGACAGAGCACCACAGAAGAAGAGTTAGTGATTATCGCTCATGCTCAGTCTGAATCCAGCTTCCTGCTGAGATGGGAACAAACACCCAGCGTGTCCAATAGTATCAGAGTTTTACACTTTGATCTCCTGCAGCACTGTGAGTCTCTACGCTGTTATAATGTAGTTACATGTTTGTAAACGTGTGTGTTGTCTCCCTGTTTCTGTCTCTACGTGTCACAGACTCTACGTGTCACAGACTCTACGTGTCACAGACTCTACGTGTTGTGTTTGTTGTTGTCGGGTTGCTGCATCTTAGATTTAGTGTCGCCTCCTGAAGTGAACAGAGATTAAGTGAATCAGAAGAACTCATTGCGGCAGATGCAAGTTAAGTTCCTGCAGTGGAGAAGGACAGTGTCTCCTTCATCTTCTCCCTCGTCTCCTCCCTCGTCTCACCTTGACTCTGTCCTTCAGTCGCTGCTCCTCCTCTCTGACCTCCTGCACTCTGTTCACAGCTGTTTGATGCTCCTCCCTCCTCTGAGCCAGCCTCTGCTCCTGCTGCTCCACCTGCAGGGAGGACACACTGATTTACTGAGTTCATGTTGACACGAGAAAAAACAGGAAACACTTTGTTGTTTCAGATATGAACAGACTCTAAAACTGAAGCTGAGGTTTACCTGAATATTGAGTGAGTTTAGACTTGACTGAGACTCCTGGAGGTCTGACAGCACGTCAGATAACCTGCTCACACACACACACACACACACACACACACACACACACACACACAGGAAGTTTGAGATGTTTTATTGTGAAGCAGTTTGAGGTCTTTTATTGTGAAGCAGCTGCAGGGGCAGGAAATGTCCACAGACATCTGATAGAACTTCCTGTCTGATGAAAAGAGGTCTGACTGCAGCAGAGTAAAACTGACAAACGAGGATCTCTGTAATGAAACATTCAATAAAAACTTTATTGGTACCTGTCTGACGCTGAGTGTAGTTTTGTTCCCAGCTGTTGGAGCTCCTCCTTCCTGCTCCCCAGCTCCTCCTCCAGCCCCATCAGACTCTGCTCTTCCTCCTGTCTCCTCCTCCTCAGCTCCTCCACCTCCTCCTGCAGCACTCTGCACATCAGTTCATATGATGATGAGGATGATGAAGAAGAAGAATCACATGCTGTTACCTGGAGGTCAGAGGTCACCTGTGACAGTTTACCTGATGTGCTGTGTGGCCTCCATAACACAGGTGGCGCCGTCCTGAGCCGAGCGCTGCAACATGTCGACGTCCCGCTGAGTTGAGCTGGCCTGGAGGAGACACAAGGTGACATAACGTACATGTGTGTGTGCGTGTATGTGTGTGTGTGTGTGTGTGTGTGCGTGTGTGTGTGAGAGAGAGAGAGAGAGAGAGAGAGAGAGAGAGAGAGAGAGAGAGAGAGTGTGTACCTTGTCCCTGGTGGTGTGTATGCAGCTCTGAGCCTCCAGCAGCAGTCGGTCAGCCTGTCGGAGTTCAGCTCGTCTCTTCAGCAGAGTTTTCTCTACACACTCCACCTCATCACACACCTGCATCACACTCCTGCACACACACACACACACACACACAAGCCATCTCATAATGTGTAACGTAAACCCAAAAACCAGGTCTTAAAGCTCCAGTGTGCAGAATTCTGGGGGATTTATTGTCAGTCAGAAGAAGAAGAAGCAGATTCACACACACAGACAGTTAAAATGGAAAGAGTTAAACACTGTGTGTGTGTGTGTGTGTGTGTGTGTGTGTGTGTTACCTGTGTTGTCTCAGTGTGTGTCGTAGCTGTTTGGTTTCCAGTCGTAGTTTCTTCTTCTCTTCCTCCAGTCGCTCTGCTTCTTTGTGCACACACTCACACACAGACCTGTCTCCCTGCAGACACACACACCCACACACACACACACACACACACACCCACACACACACACACACACACACACACACACACACACACACACACAGGCTGAGGTGAGATGATGATGATCATCAGTGGTCAGGTTAATGTGTCTCAGTGTTTCCTGGTATCACAGTCTGATTCAGACGCTCACCATGTCTCTGTGTTCGGGGATGTTACAGTGCAGCACAGCGCCTCCTGCAGGAGAACCACAGAGGAGCCAGCCAGGTCCGACCAGGGGAGTCTGACCATCAGAGACAGCTGCAGCAGGGTCAGGAGGAGGAGGAGGAGGAGGAGGAGGAGGAGGAGGAGGAGTCTGTCCTCTGGAGCCCCTGTCGATGTCACTTCCTCCTCCGCTGTCCCTCCACTCTGCTGCTGCTGAACACAGGTTACATCAGTCTGAGGCTGATCAGCTGATCTAAACACGTCTCTGTGTGTGTGTGTGTGTGTGTGTGTGTGTGTGTGTGTGTGTGTGTGTGTGTGTGTTTACCTGTGTCAGAGTCGGTGTGTGTGGGGGGGGTGTAGACCCAGTAGCCTCCTCCTGTGGGCGGTCTGTCCTGCTGTCGCCCCCTCTCAGGAGAACTGAGGTACTGCAGCCCCAAACCAGAGTCCTGAGTCCCCAGAGAACCCAGACTGGGAGCCTGACGGAGACAGAGACACTTTTATCTTCCCATGATGCTCTCAGGTTTGTTTCCAGCCTGAAGGAGCAGTGATGTCACTCATCTTTAATCTTTATATTTCTGTCAGTGACTTCTAAATCAGCAGGAAGCTGCATGTGAACAAACTCTCTATCAGTCAGTTTAAAAAGTCTCACACTGTGTCCTGGAGGGACGAAACACCACCGTCCTCCATCTCTGCTCCTGCTCCTGCTCCTGGTCCTGCTCCTGGTTCTGATCCGGTCTAGTTTCTGTCTCAGCCTGTGTGTGTGTTTCTGAGCGTTGTCCAGCTCCGCCCTCAGCTCCTCCACCATGTGTGTGTGTTCACACTGCGGTGTTGGTGTGTGTTCGCTCCGTCTCTCTGAGCTTCCTTCAGGTTGGTGAAAGCTGCCGTCGATCTCCTCCACAGCGTCCTGACAACAACAACAACAACAACACAACAACAACACAAACAAGAAGTCAACTTTATCGATACAGTGCAAAGTCACAGCGTCTGTCCTCAGAGCTCCGTTCTGATAAAGAAAAACTCTACAAAATAACTTTATTGAGTGGAAAATATAAGACAGAGTCACAGAGCAGGACAGTCTTCAGGACGCAAAATTTATTTTCCTAGGATGGCGATGGCGTGACACACCCTGCTTGCCCTCTGATTGGCTCACACTAGCTGCCTTTGTTGGTTTGGTTGGTCAGGTTTAGGCACGAGGGTGAGACTAGCTGTTGTTAGGGTAAAAATGTCAGGATAAACCAATCACAGCTGGAGCGAGGCGGGTCACACCTTCACCACCCTTCAGGACAGACAGACAGGAAGTAGATGTTGAGTGTATCTGTGTGTGTGTGTGTGTGTGTGTGTACCTGCTGTGCATGTGCGTGCAGCAGCTCCACCATGTGGTTCAGAGCTCTCAGCTGTTCAGAGGTCGCCCTCAGCTGATCTGCAGTCAGCTGATCAGAGTCACTCATGGACCTGCTGAGCTGCCGTAGTTTCCTGTTGAGACGTGCGAGGCTCCTCTGGTGACCTTCGCTCTGTGAACGCAGCTGCATCACATGATAACTTTTTACCAACATTTTAATACTAGTTTTTGAATATTTTATTAACTTTTTCAGACATCTTGTTGTTATTTTTTGGCCCTATTTTTTTTTTTTTTACTTTTTTTTTCTGACATTTTAATAATATTTTTTGGACAATTTATGAATCTAATTAATGATAATAATCATTTTATTAATGTGCCCCTCTATGTTGTGCTTCACAGTTGGAGAGGTAATAACCCGTGCAGCTGTTACATCATACAGTACAGGCCAAAAGTTTGGACACACCTTCTCATTCAATGCGTTTTCTTTATTTTCATGACTATTTACATTGTAGATTCTCACTGAAGGCATCAAAACTATGAATGAACACATGTGGAGTTATGTACTTAACAAAAAAAGGTGAAATAACTGAAAACATGTTTTATATTCTAGTTTCTTCAAAATAGCCACCCTTTGCTCTGATTACTGCTTTGCACACTCTTGGCATTCTCTCCATGAGCTTCAAGAGGTAGTCACCTGAAATGGTTTTCCAACAGTCTTGAAGGAGTTCCCAGAGGTGTTTAGCACTTGTTGGCCCCTTTGCCTTCACTCTGCGGTCCAGCTCACCCCAAACCATCTCTATTGGGTTCAGGTCCGGTGACTGTGGAGGCCAGGTCATCTGCCGCAGCACTCCATCACTCTCCTTCTTGGTCAAATAGCCCTTACACAGCCTGGAGGTGTGTTTGGGGTCATTGTCCTGTTGAAAAATAAATGATCGTCCAACTAAACGCAAACCGGATGGGATGGCATGTCGCTGCAGGATGCTGTGGTAGCCATGCTGGTTCAGTGTGCCTTCAATTTTGAATAAATCCCCAACAGTGTCACCAGCAAAACACCCCCACACCATCACACCTCCTCCTCCATGCTTCACAGTGGGAACCAGGCATGTGGAATCCATCCGTTCACCTTTTCTGCGTCTCACAAAGACACGGCGGTTGGAACCAAAGATCTCAAATTTGGACTCATCAGACCAAAGCACAGATTTCCACTGGTCTAATGTCCATTCCTTGTGTTTCTTGGCCCAAACAAATCTCTTCTGCTTGTTGCCTCTCCTTAGCAGTGGTTTCCTAGCAGCTATTTGACCATGAAGGCCTGATTGGCGCAGTCTCCTCTTAACAGTTGTTCTAGAGATGGGTCTGCTGCTAGAACTCTGTGTGGCATTCATCTGGTCTCTGATCTGAGCTGCTGTTAACTTGCCATTTCTGAGGCTGGTGACTTGGATGAACTTATCCTCAGAAGCAGAGGTGACTCTTGGTCTTCCTTTCCTGGGTCGGTCCTCATGTGTGCCAGTTTTGTTGTAGTGCTTGATGGTTTTTGCGACTCCACTTGGGGACACATTTAAAGTTTTTGCAATTTTCCGGACTGACTGACCTTCATTTCTTAAAGTAATGATGGCCACTGGTTTTTCTTTAGTTAGCTGATTGGTTCTTGCCATAATATGAATTTTAACAGTTGTCCAATAGGGCTGTCGGCTGTGTATTAACCTGACTTCTGCACAACACAACTGATGGTCCCAACCCCATTGATAAAGCAAGAAATTCCACTAATTAACCCTGATAAGGCACACCTGTGAAGTGGAAACCATTTCAGGTGACTACCTCTTGAAGCTCATGGAGAGAATTCCAAGAGTGTGCAAAGCAGTAATCAGAGCAAAGGGTGGCTATTTTGAAGAAACTAGAATATAAAACATGTTTTCAGTTATTTCACCTTTTTTTGTTAAGTACATAACTCCACATGTGTTCATTCATAGTTTTGATGCCTTCAGTGAGAATCTACAATGTAAATAGTCATGAAAATAAAGAAAACGCATTGAATGAGAAGGTGTGTCCAAACTTTTGGCCTGTACTGTACGTCGCAGCCTCCAGGACTCCAGCCATGACACTTTGCAGCCCGAGGATGAGGTGGCAGCCTACATGGAGTTTGGATCCTTTGGAGGTTTGATGGTGGTGGAAGGAGCATGCTAACATGTTTCCTAACCTGGCAGTGATTGAATTTTTTCACCATCCAGTCAAAGAGACGTCCAACTCAAGAACGGAGAACCAGCTTCATGTGTTTCTCAAAGTCAAGGATCCTTCTTTGGGTTGCACCCTGTGTGTGTTTAATCACAGGGGCGGGTCGTGGGACTTTAATTAACTGGTGTGGGCGGGTCCAGCTTTGACTTAGACATACTAACGGGTAACGGGTCGTTCTGGTACAGAGCTTTACAGATATGGACTCTGAGTACAGGAGAGAATAAACTGTATGAACGTCTGACCTGCTGTAGCAGCGTGTCTCTCTCATGCTGGACGTCCTGAAGCTGCAGACCGCTCTGCTCCAGCTCTGCCTCCTGCACAACAGATCAACATTATTTTAATATTCAGAGACAAAACCTCGATCTGACCTCTAATAATCACTGCGTGTGTGTGTGTGTGTGTGTGTTTGGTTCGGTCAGGATGAGGTTCTGGTGCTGTTCTCTGAGTGACCTGGTTCGGACTCAGACACTGACCAGTTTGTGTTGGATGTGTCTGTTGCTGCTCTGAGACGTCTGCAGTCTGACTCTCAGTGTCTCCAGCTCCTCCTTCAGCCTCCAGTCTGGCTCCTGCTCCTGCTCCTGCTCCTGCTCCTGCTCCTGCTCCACACCGGCGAGCCCCCGGGCCTCCAGCTGGGCCTCCAGCTGGGCTATCCGGTCCTGATCCTGGGCCACCTGGGCCTGCAGTCTGGCTACCTGCTCGTGGCTGTGGTGATGGTCTTGTTGGTCTCTGCTGGTTCTGGTCTGCTGGATCGCCCTGCAGAGCTGCTCCACACTCCTGGACAACATGTCTTCAGGACTGCAGGGGGACAGGACAGACAGCAGACATGGACACAGCAGCCTTCAGTGTAACATCTCCTGTAACCTGTAACACTTGTGTTGTAAATGTGTCACATCAACAGTGTTATGAGACAGTAACGTGTCCCGACCGTGTGCAGCCTGCATCAAACAGGACATACTTTTTAAGACCAGCTGCAGGACCTACTGAAAGTAAAAAGACAAAGAATGTGATTTGGACACTCAGACTCAGATTTCAAACCTACAGCGAGTGTTTGACACTCAGAAGGTTTTCAGCGGAGTCATGCTGCTATTAATACACAGCTACTGACAGTGGACACCACAGAGCCTCAGCATGTTTTATATTACAGTCTGTCCTCTGAGCTGCTCACAGAGTCAAGTTCATACAGACGTCTTTCTGCTGTTGTTTCATCTCCAAAACCTGAAGGATCAAATAAGAAACACAGAGAGGAGCCAACACGCTGAGTGGAGCTGATGTTTCTGTGTTTCAGTGTCAGCTCTGGATTTTCTTTCCTCTCTAACAATTCACCAGTTTCACAAACACCTGACCTCATCTGTTAAACATGAAGGAATCCACTCTGTCAGCTTTTCTGGAGAAAAACACTTAACAACAGAGACAAAAGGAGGGACAAACTCACTGATGTTTATTGGTGTCTTCATTTACAGGGGAATTAGCTCAAATGGTAGAGCGCTCGCTTAGCATGCGAGAGGTAGCGGGATCAATGCCCGCATTCTCCAGAGGACTTTTGCGGTCACACTGTCTGACAGCACAGACTCACACAGGTAACCAATGCCTCCTCATGTCCTCCCTCCCCCGTGACCAGAAAATCCTTCCCCCTCAGTCATCATGGAGGATCCTTCATTTGCATAAATGCATCTTGAGGAAATGAGGAGGAGCCCAGAGTGAGGCAACGTGTGTGGTGTTCCGCACGGTGTATAAATAGTGCACCTCTACATATGAAAACATTACGTTCACCGGCACATTGACGTGTTGTAAAATACTGAGGCCAGCTTAGCATTCGTTTGTAGCGTGTGCGTGTGTGTGTGTGTGTGTGTCAGCAGCAACAAGTGTTTGGAGCTGTTCAAACACAAACACTTTCCTCTGTCTGCGTGGCGCCCTCAGCTCAGAGAGGTCAACACTGAGTCCAACAGACTGAGGTTAGGACCTCCCTCCTCATTAACATACAGACAGAAACAGAGAGCTGCAGTAGGGGCTCCCATAGTTGGTTTGCTATCATATGTTTGATATGATGTATGTGCTGTATATTGACTGTACTGAGCAGCCTCATCACATTTTGTCTGTCTCTGTTCTCAGATGGTGGAGGGAGGAAAAGTCCTCTGGAGAATGCGGGCATCGATCCCGCTACCTCTCTCATGCTAAGCGAGCGCTCTACCATTTGAGCTAATTCCCCTGTGAAAGACAGGTCCTCTAAACATATCCTATGACGTGTGTGTCAGTGTGACTCTGCTTCAGGACGTCAGTTTGTATCTCTGCTCAGGTTTCTCCTCAGATGTCCGACCAGTTGTCCAGTTTAACTCTCGCACTGACTCAGTGTCCTGAACAACAGTCAAAGCTTTCTACCTGCATGTGAGATGAAGGGATGTCGGTGCTGCTTCCAGGATGAGAACACTTTGCCAACACAGCTGTGACTCTGACTGCAGGTCATTGAGACAAAACACACACCAAAACTCTGCCCCGTGTGAGGCTTGAACTCACGACCTTCAGATTATGAGACTGACGCGCTGCCTACTGCGCCAACGAGGCTCAAAACTTTACAATTCATGAGTGAAATTGAAGACAACTGATTGTCCTTCACCTTAGGCCTGTAATACGTGCAGTAATAACATGAATACTATACTGAACGTACAACTACACTGACAACACCAGCACAGAACTGTTCAAACACAAACACGTCTGTCCTGGATATTATTTCCTCCTTGTTCTGTCTGCATGGCGCCCTCAGCTCAGAGAGGTCGATAGGGTGGAGATCCCTCACTGTGTCAGTGTAACTCTGCTTCAGAAGGAGCACCACAGACACATCAGCAGCAGCATCAACTCGGTCACATACAACATCTCCAAACACGTAGCTATGATCTTGGCTCCTCTGGTTGGCAACACTCCACGCCACGTCAAGAACTCTCTGGATTTTACCAACAAGACCAGAGAGATAACTATGGTATCATACGACGTCACTTTACTTTCACCTGTATTCCCACCAAAGAAGCAGTTGAGGAAACGTTAGCTACAGGACAGCTCCCTTCCCAACAGGACCAACTTCACCCCAGATCTCTCCCCAGACGACTTCACACCCATTCACAGCTGGTCCCACCTGACCCTAACCACACACGATTGTCAGGTGGGTCAACGACTCATGTTGTGACCTTAACGACTCTGAAACTAGGAGCTCACATGTGACCTCGACAACTCTGTAAGAGTTCACACCCACACAGAGTTTAAAGCCTGCGACCCCGCACCAGTCAGTCAGAACTGAAGAAGCTTATTGGATGAGAGGTGAAACGTCTTCAAGAAACACAAGAAATTCATTCAACACAGTATGTACAATACAACGCAGCTGTGACTCAGATCACTGAGACAAAACACACACTAAAACTCTGCCCCGTGTGAGGCTCGAACTCACTTCCTTCAGATTATGAGACTGACGCGCTGCCTACTGCGCCAACGAGGCTCGAAATACAAAATTGAAAAACAGTCATGACTGAAATGTCAAACGACTGACTGTCACTGGCTGGTTACTGGGATTTTCACCACAACCATCTCTAGGGTTTACAGGGGATGGTCCCAAAAAAAGAAAATATCCAGTGAGCCAAAATGCCTCACCTATGGTCATGAGCTCTGGGTAGTGACTGAAAGAATGAGGTCACAGATACAAGTGTCTGAAATGAGTTTCCTCTGTAGGGTGTCTGGGCTCAGCCTGCTGCCTCTGAGACCTGGCCCCGAGTGAGAGGATGAAGATGGATGGATGGGCAGAATCTCACATGTACGCAGTGATGACTTAAAAGTTCAAACTAAACAGCAGAGCTCTCCTGGTGAATGGTGTTTTATATCTCCAGGATAACATTAAGCAAGCAGGTCAAAGTTCGAGGCCTTATCTTCTGATGCATCAGGATGTCTGTCTGTGTGCACACTCCACACAACAGTACGCTCTAACAGCCATGGGACCAGCAGACGAGGTGGCCGAGTGGTTAAGGCGATGGACTGCTAATCCATTGTGCTCTGCACGCGTGGGTTCGAATCCCATCCTCGTCGGGACAGATTTTGAAGCCGCAGTGAGAAACCAGGACGAGGTCTGAAGACAAGTGTCCTTCCTCAGAGGACATGTGTTAGAGGGACAGATGTTTGTCAAAGTAAAGGATCCTTCTTTGGGAGGACTTGGCAGCATTCAGTGAACACAGACTAACAGGTGTCCTCATGTGATCATCATTATGAGTAATGGAGTAAAGACAACAGCTGTTCTAAATGATCATTAACAGTATGAACACAGAATCACTCTCATTTCACAGTGATTCATACTTTCTTTTCCTTCAGCGGGTCGATGACGTAGCGTGCTTCAAGTTCAGCCGTTTGAGGATCCTTCCTTGACGTTTGGTCTCCAGAAACCAGAGAACGTAGGGAGGAAAGACAGCCACTGTCACAAGTTGCCCTCTGTTTGATGTTTGGCTGGTATCACATCGACTTGCTGTCTCACAGATAAACATTTCATTCACTTTAAACCAGACAGAAATGTACGTCAACCTCCAAACCACCTGCTTCATTCCAGGCAGTGATGTGAGCTTGTTCACATTATGTGACTCTGTCCATCAAACTTATGTCTTATATGTCACTGTTTCCACTCTGTATGTCCTCAACTGGAACTAAAGTCTTGTGGAGCACGTGGACATTGGTCCTGATCCCTCTCACACACTCTGCCACCCCTGTGAACACTCAGACAACACACTGCACCAAAAGCTGAGTTAGGGTCAACGTTGTTTGTGTTTCAGGGTCGATCCACGTTACAGGCGGCACCTTTGAGTAACCACACAACAGACGAGGTGGCCGAGTGGTTAAGGCGATGGACTGCTAATCCATTGTGCTCTGCACGCGTGGGTTCGAATCCCATCCTCGTCGGAACAGATTTTGAAGCCTCAGTTTGATCTGATTACATTTCAAAGGAAACAGAAGAGAGATTTGACCAGAAGGAGATGTGATGTGTAAAATATGTATGACCTTTCTGTCTGTGTTGACTCAGCGTCCAAAAACACTGTCAGAGAGCAATGTGTCATCTGATATCACCACTAAATGATCAAACTATCATCAGGAATCAACGTGCAGACCAACAGCTGGACTGTGGGGTGAGGAGATATACTGATGTCTTATTGGCTGGTTAAAGGGAAACTGTGAGACCCTCAGGAATCAGAGAGGTCACTATGTGAGGTGGGTTAAATAAAAAGTTTCTACACCACAACAAAAAACCATGACCAAGAAGGAAGCATTCAGAGCAGCACGAAGTGTAGAGAGACATTATGTGGAAACATTTAAACTGGTCTCATCTGTCAGACACGTCTAAAGTCCAGTTCAGACCAAAGACTGTTGACGAGATGAAACTGTTTCAGGACGCTGCAGAGAAAAGTGTCAGCGGTGTGAACTGGCCGGTCTGAGCTCGACTCAAGCCGGCTGATGGTGTCACCTGACACTCAGCTGGTCAAATGGCCGGCGGCTGGTTTTAAAGCACGTCACCTGTTTCAACAGCCAATCAGCTTGTAGTGAAGTCAGCTGGTCAAGTCAAAATGACCACAGATGGCGTGTTGGCTTGCTGTGACGGCTTTTTACAATGTTACAGAACGGAGCGCTGACAGTGGTTGTTTGGTACAAGTCGTCTCATGGTGAATCTTTGGTCTGAACTGGACTTGACGAACTCCTCCTGGAACATCTCCTCTGAGTCTGTTACATTCTGTTTCTTAATAAACTGTTTGAGGTTTAAATGAAGCTCCAGCAGTTTACTGAAGTCACAGAGGAAGGTGACGCACATCTGTATTTTCAACAGACCGTTTCTAACGTGACCACAGAAACATGTTAAGGAGGAAGGAAACAGGGACCAATGAAAAGGTCTACAGTATTACTGCAGCACTGGTACCTGTACTGGTCCTCATCCAGCTCTTCTGGTCCACTCTGAACCTCCTGAGAATCCAACAGAGCAGCTGTGATCTGGTCCAGCTGAACTCTGCTCTGATCCACGTGGGTCCTGCTGTCTTTATACTGGTGCCTGGTCTGCTGTAACTGAGTCCTGGTCTGCTGTAACTGAGTCCTGGTCTGGTCCAGCTGGACCTGAAGTCTCTGGACTGTTTCCTGAAGAGATGATTTCTCGTCCTGCAGACAGACAGACAGACAGACGGACACAGACAGGTTTTTAACACTTAGAGACAGAGCTCTGATTCTCTGCATGAGCCCGACTGAACCTGACTCACTCCGCTGGGGTCAGGACGGGTTTTGTTTTTATCTCCTGAGTTGACAGGTTCTCACCAATTTACTGTTTTGGTTTTTTTAATCTAGCAGCACTGGTGTAAATGGCGAGAGTTTTAAAGGACTGAATCAAGACAGAAAGTGACAGAACATTGGAGTCAAACAGAATGTGTGAGAGAGGGATGGAAAACAAGAAACAGAGAAGGGGCGGGGCCTTCGAGGTGACTTGCTGGCAGTGTTTGCCTTGAGCAGTGATTATTGTCTGTGCCTGTCATCACCGTGTGCACTAGACACATCAAGGGGCGCAGCCTGTTCTGCTACACCTGTTGTGCACAAGGTGACAGACGACTGAAACAAGGAAGAGAAGAAGGAGGAGTGGTGCGAGGAAGCATGTCAGCCCTTCAGTAAGTGATGGCGCCCGGCGAGGTGTTCATTATCACTTTTTAACAGTTGTCGTGGAGATGTGAACTGTTGGATGCACAGCTGCAAAGGCTGTTAAAAAGTGACACCTCGTCAGGCGTTACCCCGTATACCACAGTCACTTAACAAAGAATCAAAAAGGAAGAATATTCATTCATATTTTTTGCCGTTCGGAGTCAAAATCTGAGGTTTTTCACAAGCCATAACTCGGTTTCCTTGGTAACACCTGAGGGTTTGTCTAATACCTGGAACAGCCGTTACTACACTGAACGCTACACTGAAATCACACAGCCAGTAATATTTAATATTCATACTTACATCATGTGTAATAACTTTATTCATTTATTTATTTTATGTGCAAATAATTTTAACTTATTATATGTTCATGGCATATTTTGGCTTTGTGTGCACTGTGTAGGTGTGTATGTGTGTATGTTCAATGTGTGTGTGTTTAGAGTATGAATGAATGATATTTTATCCTTTAACATTTATTTATTACTTTTTAATGAAATGAAATGAAGTGAAATTTATAAACTGAACAATTATTAGGGCCTGTCAGGTTCTTACACAGTGTAAACATCATTCACTACTCCAGGAAATATGACAAACGTTACATACGATCTGGCAACAGGAGATAATCTGACCGCTCAGCTGATGGAACCCTTTGGCACAGCTGTTAGCCAGAGAGCTAATGTTATGCTAACAAGATTCAAAGTTAGTGGCAGTTGACAAACTGTAAATATAATTTGACGTTTAACAACAACACAGTGAGCTTTCAGCCATGTCACCGCCCCCAAATCAATATCAGGATTTTCACCAACAAACGATACGCCATGTGTGACGTTACTGTCGGCCGCAGCCTGAAGCAGCGAGTTGAACAGCGGACAGGATGTGAGATGATTGTTTAAGTTCAGAGGGGCGGTGTCGTACCTGCAGGGTGTTGCAGTGAACAGACAGTTTCACTGGGACTGCTTGGTAGGTGTCCGTTATCAGTTTTTAACACCCTGCAGCCAGTCAGACTTTTATTCATGTTTTAATAATAAAAAATATAATTTATAAAATATAAAACAATATTTTTATCACAGTGGAAATTCACGATTTTTAACTGGGCTCAGGCATTAAACTGCTGCTGTGGGTCAGGCCTGCTCTGTTTGGAGAGTGTGTGTGTGTGTGTGTGTGTGTGTGTGTGTGCGCACTGACCTGCAGTGTGTCGATGGTTGACTGCAGCTCAAACTCTCTGATGTCTCTGCTCTGTTTCTCTTTGTGTGCAGCTTCCTGCAGAGACTCACACTGCAGCTGGATACAAACAGACAGACAGACAGACAGACAGACAGACACACACACACACACACACACACACAGTGTTATCTGGATGAAGGTCAGTCTCAGAGGATGATCTACTGTATGCCTGACGTGTTACCTGTCCCTCTGTGGTCTGTCGGTTTAGCTCCTCCCTCAGCTGCTGGAGCTCCGCCTCCAGCTCCACCTGCTGTCTGCTGCTCTCCACCTGTTGGTCTCTGAGAGTCTCCGCCTCCAACCGCAACAAAGACACCTCCTCCTGCTGGACAGACATGTCCTGAAGAGACAGACAGACAGACAGATGGATCAACCAGGGGAATATGGGTTTGTGACCTGGAGTCGATCTCAGCGCTCCGTCTCAATCTCAAACAACATATTCTCACAGAACATTTCGTATGATCTCCAATCAAAAATAGTTGCCCGACAGTTTGTATGACATCTGCAAATCAGTGCCCAATGAATGACGTCACGTTCTTAATGTACAGGTGCGTAATTAACATAAAAATATAGAGGTTCAGTTTAGGAGAAGAAACATGGCGGTGCAGACACACCGCACCAACTAGGGTGACCGACAGCCAACCTTCAGCTCAGTGTGTCAGGACTTTAACTCCACTTCTGTCTGGCTCATGTTCGATTGTTTGACCCTGTTGATCTGAGTTTCCTGTTTGTGTTTGTCAGGAGCACTCTGTGAAATCTGTTTTTACAGGTCAAATATAGATAAAGTATTATTATCTCAGGTGTGTGGGACTAATACAAGGAGAGGAGGCGAGGAGAGGAGGCGAGAAGAGGAGGCGAGGATGTAACATCTTAATGATGGGACAGGCCTCCTCACTGACCTGTGCGTGTGTCCTGACGGTGTCCTCCAGCCGTCTGCAGTGTCTTTGAGTGTCCTCCAGGTGGAGCTGCAGACTCTGATTCTCAGCCTGCAGACTGTGAACCTGCTGCTGAGCACGACGAGCCTGCCACACACACACACACACACGCATACATACACACACACACACACACACACACACACACACGCATACATACACACACACACACACACACACACACACACAGTTTACTCTTTTGTTTGTTTGTGTTTACTCTCTTGGACCTATTAAAAAGTGGCTCCTGTGTTTTTGAAAACTTGAAAACATAAAGGTTTTGTTGCTTCATACAGTCCCTGGTGGTCTAGTGGTTAGGATTCGGCGCTCTCACCGCCGCGGCCCGGGTTCGATTCCCGGTCAGGGAACATCTCATATTGCATTCCAGGAAGCGACTCCAACCCCCGACAACTGACCCAAAGCTCCAGTGCGTAAGATTCAAATGGAATATTTTACCTGATCCACAACCTCTGTGTGGTGACAACATTTTGTACAGTTTGTGTTGTTGCTGTTTCACTGAGTGCTCATGTTTTTGTAAAAATACAAAAACTCAAATATATAAATAAATAAATTAAATAAAAAGTCAGTGTCTCAAATCTCCTTTTGTCTGATCTTTAAACTGTAATGATTGTTTTGTCAATAAAGGTTTTATAACCAGTGTTAAATAGAAAACACTGAGACATCTCTGCAGGTTAAAGGTTTTTAAAAAGAAGTCGACACGTCTGAATCTTTGTCTGTACCTGCTCTCTGAGACCTCTCAGGTACTCCTGAAGACCAGAGATGATCCCCTCCAGATCCCTCTGGAGAGCTTCGTTTGCCAGAATCTGACCTGAAGGAGGAGGAGGAGGAGGAGGAGGAGGAGAGGAGAGGAGAGGAGAGGAGAGGAAACAAGGAAAGGAGAATGAGGAGGAGAGGAAACCAGGAGCAGAGAAAAAGAAGAAGAGGAGGAGAGGAGTGTTATTTTATGACACTATCAGTCAATCAAAGGGCTCCTGTTTTAGAGACTCTCTGTGATTGGTCGGTGGTCTGCTCACCGTCGGTCAGCTGTTGCTCCAGCTCCGTGATCTCCTGCGTCTCCATGGCGATGCGTGACAGCATGTCGTCGAGGCGACCCTCCAGCTCGCTCTGCTTCCCGCTCATCCTGTCCAACAGCCGTCTCCACTGGGACAGCCGGGCGGTCACATGGGCCTGAAGGAGAGACGGCGGCCAATCAGAGCAGGGTCACCACACGCTGATCTCCTATTGGTTACTCAGTGTTATGATATGAGATTATTAAGGTCACACATGAGTAAATGCAGGTGAGTGACCGTCACCTGACGAGGCCCAGGTGATGCTCAGGCTGTAAACTGATAACACTGAGTTTACATATGTTGTAATGTTTCAGTGTTCTGATGGGTCACACTTCATGTTGTGGTCAAAGACATTTTGCATTCATATTCAGTTAGTGACCTCTGACCTGTGATATCAGACTGTCTGACAGGAAGCTGTGCTGAGGTGAAATAAAGAGCACTTCCTGGTTCAGAGTTCATCTCCTTTGTCCCACATGTCAGGTTTTCAAGGTGTTCTGTCCATAGTCCACCATTTTGAAAAGCCAGTTCTTCCTTGTGTGGTTTGCTGAAAGAGTGCAGATGTTTCCAGAGATGATTTGAGTCTTTGATTAAATCAAGTTGGTGCTGCACACGTTGTTCCTTTTTACTTCTGAGTGTTCATCTGTATATCTTCAGTGTTTCCCAGTATCAGAGGTGAAGCTCAGGATCTTCAGGTCGTCCGTGTTGTTGATTTGATACGTTTCTGAGTGATCTGACTCGACCACTTTTTATTGGCTGATTTTTTTTTGATTGGATAAATCTGCTACCTTGTCACATATACAGTTAATGTCCTTGTTGTCACTGAGGTGGTGAGGTTGGAAGGAACTGGTATAATTGTGATTGACTTGTTTGATGTCTGTGGCTTTCTGGTGGTTATCCTCACTGCTGTTTGTCCATGTGTTGGGTTGGTTTGTACAGTTCAGTTTACTGGGTTCTGCTGCTTGAGGGCCTGCTACTGTCTTCCTGGTCTAGGTCTGTAATGGCTCATCTGAGAAACCTCAGCTCAACACAATATATTTTTATAGTTCAATGAAATTAAGAAAAAAATGGTTGTTAAATGTGTGCTCAATGTTTTTACCTTCACATGACAGAATTAAATGCTCAAACAACAAAAAGAAGTTATGTTAGACTGACATAAACTTCCTCTCATGTGACTCTTTCATTTGTGTCTGCTGAACTCAAACTTTTTATGTTACTGTGCTAAATCAATCAATCAAATAGAAAAATCCTGTTGGCTGTTCGTCAAAGTAACCAGGGCGATGCTGACTTCAGGGTCGACCTGCGCTGTGTGAAGTCGGACGATCTCCTCCTCTGCTGCTCCTCTGTTTTAGAGTCAGTAGGGTTATTTATACCGACCCTCTCAGCTCAAACTGTGACCTCCACCTCAGATCTGGATTTTACAAATTAATCTCACACAGCAGAGAGAAGAGAGAGCTGAACACTTTCCATGGAACTGCACTTTAAACACAAGGGGAATTAGCTCAAATGGTAGAGCGCTCGCTTAGCATGCGAGAGGTAGCGGGATCGATGCCCGCATTCTCCAGAGGAATTTTAACCCTTTCCTGTCTCACACAGAGCAGTGACATGTAACTGTGCAGTCTGCGTCTGTCTGCAGGACTGAGACAGGCTGACATGTAGAAATGTGACTGACATAAACCAGAGGCTGTATTCACAAACATCCGGAGAACACTCTCAGAGCTTCTCCTAACCTTGTCTGAAACTGTTCATTAAGGAGTCTGAACTCAGGAGTGATTTAGGAAAGTTCTCAAGGCTCATTTATGCTCCCTTTACGTATGAAAATGTATACGTCCGTTTCAAATGATGTTACCGTCACTGCCCACATACTTCCATGCGTCCTTTACGTTGGCATGGATGTTAACCAATATATCCACCAGGGGGCAGCCCAGCGTCAAAAGTTTATGACAACAACAAACTCAAAAACAAACATTGCGACTGTGGAGGAGATATTGATAATGTACCTCTTGCATAAAAGACAAAAACAGAGGCAGCGTTGTAGGAGGCGGTGGTCGGTGAGGCCGTTAAATACATTGCGACTGGAGGACGGAGAATTATTATCTCGCACAGACCTCCACTTCTCCTTCACTACCGACCAACTCACATTTAATTCCCTTCCAAACTCCTTCCAGCTGTTCTGTAGCATGTGTTTGTCCTGGTGTCCAGGAGAAGTAACATCATAGAGATGTTTAGTTTCTAACTAACTCGCACAACTTTTCCTCAAAAAGTTCCGCCATTGTTATTTCTTCTTCGTGTCTCACTAGAGCTACGTATCGGGTAGTGACAGCAACACTGCCCCTCGGTTCCCGGTGGTACTGCTCCGTTTGGCCTGTATCCGTAAACTTTATGGAAACGTGCAGAAATACGGACTAAATGAACGCAGAGCACGGACAGAAGGCTCCGTCCGTATCCAGATCCGTATTTAACGTTGAGCATAACTGGGCCTTCAGAGCAACTGAGCGATGAAGGGACAGAAACTCTGACCTCAGTGAGGAGGTGTGGTCGACCCTGTTGCTAGGTGTGATGCATTATTTTAACAAGTGTGATTGGTTGTCAGAGACACGCCCCTCTGTGAGCCTGTAAGGTGTGAGGAGACCCAGTGGACATGAAATGAACTGCAGACTGTGACTGTCAGTGTGATCACTGCTGATGAAGGTTGAGACAGACTCAACTCATCACTGCTGGGTTTTTACTGTTTATCTCAGTGATGTCATCATTTTATTTCTGGCATTATTGCATTGGGCAGGAAATGTGTGCATATCTGTGATGAGGGACATTTCATGTCCTCACTGTAAGTCATTGTTTGGAGAATATTTCTCTGACCTCTTTGTGTCATAGTTTCTCTCCTTAGGAGCTCTTTTAAGGTCTGAGATGCTCTGTGAACAACTTCAATCTTTACAAGGATCTAGTCTTATCTTTAAGGGGAAATTCTAAGAAAACCTCATAATTCTGAGAATTTTCTCACTAGGAGCAACTCTCAGTACGAGGAAGCTTTGTTAATACAGCCCCTGGTCTGAACACCAGTTATATGCTTTATAATAACCTCTCATATGAAGGGACTGTCAATGCTGCTGAGGTCACAGAGAATTTACATCTAACCAACAAGCTCAGTGTTTGAATCCTGCAGACACAACACTGACTGCACAGTTATATGTGGTGCTGTGAGCTACTGGGTGACTAAATGTCCCTCTGGATCTATCAATATATGTCACTACTCTGTATGACAGATAGGGCTGCAACTAACGATTATTTTCATTGTCGACTAATCTGTCGATTATTTCTTCGATTAGTCAACTAATCCTTTCATCGAAAAATGTGTTAAAATGTTGAGAAATGTCGGTCTGTCTTGCCCAAACCCCAAAATTACGTCATCTAATGTCTTGTTTCATACTCATGCCAAAGGGTTTTAGTTCACTGTCATGGGAGAGTGTGTAAAGCTGTCAATATCTGAACGTAAGAAGCTGCAGTAAGAGTATTTTGGGTACTTTTATAGTACTTTTCTATGAAAAATGACTCAAACCGATTAGTCGACTACTAAAATAGTCACCCATTATTTTAATAGTCAATTAATCAACTAATCGTGGCAGCCCTAATGACAAAGGAAGAGGTTAGAAACCCTCTGGAGAATGCGGGCATCGATCCCGCTACCTCTCGCATGCTAAGCGAGCGCTCTACCATTTGAGCTAATTCCCCTGAAGGGTGAGTACAGTCTGCTGAGAATGTGACGTTTGACCCTCCTCCCTCTCTCTGTCTGTCTGTCTGTCTGTCTGTCTGTCTGTCTGTCTGTCTGTCTCTCCTCTCCTCTGCTGGAAACAACTTCATCAGAACGTGCTGCAGATGAACAATAAAGTTTGTCAGTTTGAACATTAAATATCTCTGGACTGGATTCAATCAAATGAAGGTCAGAGAGGATTCACACATCACTGCATCCTCTTTTTATTGACATTTTACACAGCACACCAACTTCTTTGGAGTCAGGGTTATAAGTGCCGTGAACACAGCAGGAAACTACAAATGTCTCTTGGTATGTGACCGTCAACAAGACAACAAACTCATCCTGAAGTAAACAACAGTTTTTTTACCTCTCAAACTTTTCTAACACCCAGACTCACAGTCGGCACCAACACACTGATGTTCACCATGTCACTGTAGCATGTTAGCATGCTAACATTAGCAGTTCACACAGAGTCCAGCTCAGGCTGATGTGTCGAATGTGTTGATGTGATGAAGAGTCGGAGGATGACTAAAGTTATCAGAGTTCACCCTAAGGGGAGCGTGAACGATGATGTCATCACACAGGTGCTGCTAACATTAAACACTCCACAGAGACACATCAACACCACAAAGGGCTGTCCCACCACCGTCCATAGTTTCCATGTTTTCCAGCTGTGAGTGGCTCCTCTGTTTCCTCTGCAGTGCATTCTGGGACATCAGAGTCCACCCACAGCATGCTCAGACAAACAAGTGGCTTTAATCTGACTTCTTTTCATGATTCTTCATTTAGCCAGTGAACACATCGCAGACTCAGAGAGCTATCAGTGTACTCACAGTCTAACAGTCCTGCACCCCAGGGACCACACGGGCTGCTGGGTAACTCCACGTCCTCCTCCTCCTCCTTCTCCTGCTCCTCCTCCTCTCTAACTCTATCAGTTCACAGTAAACATCATCACCTCACCTCCTCTCTGCTATAATAAACAATTTCTCCTCCATCTCTCTGTGTTCTTCTCTCCGTTACAAACTTCTCTTCCTCTCCCCCTCTCTTTGAATCAACACAGGAAATCTGTCTCCCAGCCAATCAGAGAGCAGAGCTGCAGAGTGACAGCTCACCTCCTGTCCAATGGGAGTGGGTTAAGACAGAGGGGGGTTCCTGGGGGGAGGAGTCAGAGGCTCTTAAAGAGACGACCACCTGTTGTTTCTGCACACAGAAGATTTACTGCCACTAAACAGATATTCACAGTTTCTACTGAGTTTATTCCTGAAACTAGATTTCAGCTGAAACACAGACCAGAGGATTTAGAGAGAAACCTGCTGCTCTGTGTTCAGATTACAGCTGCATGCTGTCCTGAGAGGAACATGGAGAGTGAGGAGGGAGAACCACATTCAGTTTTCATTATAATATATATATGTACAGATCATCAGCTGGTCAAAGTGAGTAGTTTCATGTGAATCTGTGACTCCTGCTGTCCCGTAAATACAAAAAGTAAAATACATGAAAATATTAAAGCGCAGCAGCCACAGTGTTTATGAAGGAGAGATTCAGGGGAGTGGACACTGCACTCAGAGGGGAATTAGCTCAAATGGTAGAGCGCTCGCTTAGCATGCGAGAGGTAGCGGGATCGATGCCCGCATTCTCCAGAGGAATTTTAACCCTTTCCTCTCTACACTATGTAGCAGAGATTCATACATGCAATCGGTGATCTGACTGCTGAGTTCAAACTATGAGAAAGCTTGGTGTCAATCCTCCTGTGACTTCGGCAGCACAGTGTGTTAACTGGTTATACAGAGGATGGATGACATTAGGAACAATAAATGTATGAGTATAGGACAACAATCAAAGGGAATGGATTTCTACATTTCTCCCACTACTCGTAGGAACAGGCGTCAGGGTCGGGCGCACTCATTCACAAACAGTGTTAAACTCATGTTTTAGTAGAAATCTGTTCATCAACAGTTTCTTGCCTCAAGTTTTTCATATTCTGCCAACAAATTTAAAACTACCTCAGACAATACTAAAGCACAGATGAAGGTCTAGCTGTCTTAGAAAATGTAAATTAAAACAAGATATATTAAAACTGTTATTATTTAAAAATGTTTTAATGGACAATATTTATATTGTTAATTTACTAATGCAGAGGTCAAATAACGATGAATACGACACCTTTTCATCCTCATCAAATATCAATTAAAAACTCATCTCAGTTTTTATTTTATAGAAATTTTGCATATGTTCATTTGTAGCAAAATGATCAATTTGTAGCCTATCAATAGGAATGCAGGGTAAATTATATTTGTATATTAAATTTGAATGAAACATTAAAGTTTCCTTAGTGCAGCTTTGAAACAGAATGCCACATAACTAAACCAAGCACAAAAAGTAATTAAATTTGTGTTTGGTAGATTATTTCTTTGTTGTAACGAAGCTTCTTGGCAATAAATCTTATACCGTTGGAAAGCCTGTTTATTTCTCTTTTAATGGAGCCACATCCGAAAGGAACATGCATTTGTGGGATGAGCAGCAGAGCTGAGTCTGTGGGTTGTGCCCATGAAAAATTTGCCAGCTTTTTTTTGCTGTTGACTCTTGTTTGATGGACTGGATGATTGAAGTCTGAAGAAACAACACATATTGGCAATTTAACAATTTCTTCATTTAACAAACAGGAGCCTCAGTCACGTGAGGAGGAACCATACACAGCCACAACAGCCTGGCACCTCCTCCTCATGCTGGTCACAGCCTGGTCACACACTGCTGTGGGATGGCATCCCATTCTTCAACCAGCATTTGTCACAAGTCAGGCAACGTGGTTGTGTTGGTCACTCTGGCACCAACAGCATGCCCAAGCTGATCCCACAAGTGTTCAATGAGGTTGAGGTCAGGACTGCTGGCAGGCCAGTCCATCCTCTCCACTCCCAAATTCTGGACGTAGTCTTTGATAAACCCCGCTCTGTGGGGGCGAGCGTTATCATCTTGGAGGATAGAGTTCAGTCCCACACTGTATACCGGACGGTACCAGAAGCTCAAAACAAGAGTCAATAGCAACAGCACAAAAAAACCTGGTTTGGCATTAGCAGAAAAGATTTGGCAAATGTTTCATGGGTGCAACCCACATACTCAGCTCTGCTGCTCATCCCACAAATTAATGCTCCTTACAAATATGGCACCATTTAAGTTAAGTTATCAAGTCACTGGTTTTATCTTAGCTGGCGATGTTTGTTGAACATCATACGCTTTCATTTAAAAAAAATATATAGATATCCAAGTCTCTCTAAGGGTGTGTCACCACATAAAAATCTATAACCATGCACGTAATCCTTGAACATCTGCTAAGAGGAAAGTTAAGGGTACAGCAGACACAAAGCCTGCAGAATTTAATGTTTAACACACACGGGTCTCAATGGCGTGCTCTTCACTCTCAGAGGGGAATTAGCTCAAATGGTAGAGCGCTCGCTTAGCATGCGAGAGGTAGCGGGATCGATGCCCGCATTCTCCAGAGGACTTTTAACCCTTTCTCTCTCACGGACTGACAGCAGAAACTGAAATATGCAGAATGTTAGTTTGTTGTTAAGTCTCTGACATGTAAGGAATATCACACTCCTGTTTGTGCTGTTAAAATGAATATCAGCGCAGCTTTGACTCAGTTGTAGTCTCAAGACTGAAGGTGGAAAACAATCTGAATAACAGCACAGCTGTGAATATCCTCAGCACTCTGCCTGCACCCTCATGTCTGCGTCCATGTCTCAGCTGCGCTCTCAGCTCAACAGCACCGCCCCCAGTGTAATATCGCTTTTAGTGTTTCTGCAAACACCGTTTATGAACAGTAACAGTAAACAGATTATGATTTGTTTGTTTATTTATTTAATGACTTAATGACACGTCAGCACAGGTCAGATTCTTTGTATCAGCTACATTTATCTGTGTGGTTCCATTTACCAGTAGTCCACCATTGTTGTTGTTGTTTCCAGCATTGGCTCATTACCCAAACTCTGTGTTTTACACGTCCACACAAATAAATAGCAGACAGAGTCCAGATTCTCCTGAGAGGGTGTTTTAAAAAATATCCATTTTAGTGACGTGTGGACGAGAGGCCTGAACATGTGTCTGTGTACGTACAGACAGGGCCTGAGCTGATGCTGGACGAGGACGGGGATTCAGTGAGGTAACATTAGTGATGTCATTCTTCTCTGGCAGAGAAAAAACTTACTGCAGTTTGCAGAGTTTTTTCAGATGGTTTAACAAGTTGGCTGCGTTGCTTAGCAGCTAAGGGAAGTTTCATGCACTTGTTGCTCATGTTTCTTTCTCTCTTGAATCCAAAATACTTCCAAACCATGGGAATAAAAAATTAACCTCATGCAGTGGAGCAGGAACAGAAGCATTTGAATTCCGTTAAAAAGCCAAAATTGTGAATTAAAGCTCTACCAGAAGGCCTCACAACCTTTAAGACTCGGTGATAATAAAACAATAAAGTACATAACAATATATCAGCACCAAAGTTAGAGAGTACCTTTAGTTGATAAAATGTTTGTACAGTTTATTCATTTTTCAGATTTTCAGATGGAGTACTTTTGGTCCCACTGAAGTGTTTCAGGTTTTCTACTGGAACACAGACAGAATAAAAAGGTTAACAGCTCTCTGGAGAATAAGGGAATCAATCCCATAAGGTCTTACAAGCAAAACCAGCACTTTACCATTTGAGCTAATCCCCCTGTGTTTAAAGGAACAAGACACCACAGACTGTAATGTGACTCAGTGAGTCGTCGTGCAGTGTTGGAATTAGGCTCTGCTTCAGTTTTTAGGTTGCATAGTGTTTGTGAAAAGCAAAGTTTCTCCAGAAAACTGCACTGAGCAGATTCCTTCATGTTTGGTAGATGAGGTCAAATCTTTCCTCTCCAGTTTTAGTGGAGAAAGAAAATCCATGACCAAAGTTTTGGAGATGAAACACCAGCAGTAAGACGTCTGTATGAACTTCATGTTGAGTGGACTGTGTCAGCAGGACAGAGGACAGACTGTAATCATGACTCACATGTTGAGGGTCTGTGGTGTCCAGTGTCAGCAGCTGTGTCTCCAGCTCTACTGTCTCTCTCTCTGTCCTCCTGCTCTCATCTGTCTGTCTGTCCATCTGTCTTCGTGTCTCGTCAGCTTCGTCTCTCAGCTGCTCCAGGACAGATAGCTTACTGAGGAGACGACACAGCGCCTCCTGCTGACAGGAGCAACATGTTGATTCAGAAACAACTCAGGACTGAAAACAGGCTCACAAACTGTTTGTGCTAAAGACTCCTGTGGTTTTGACAGAAGTGTTTTGGACAAAGAACTGACTTAAACTCCACATTTTCTGGCTGAGGTTGGGAACAGTTTGCCACGACACTGCTGGATAAACTGATGCATCTGTTACCTGTCTGTGTGCTGTGGTTGGCTCAGGCTCGGGGTGTTCTGCTGCTGGCTGCTGCTCGGTCTGATGGGCCCACTGCAGGAGCTCATCCTCATCTACACACACAGAAACATCTGTATTAAAACAACTATCAGAATATTGATGATGACACCGAGACTACAGCCTCAAAAACTGTGACACCAAAGATTACGCATCAGATCAACCAGTGACATGTAAACTAGGGTCGGGTACCAAACTCAGTGCTTCTAAAGTCTGGACTGATTCAGGTTAAATCCATCAGTGCCAAATGTTGGTGCCTGAGAGCACATCTGGGTGAGAACGCTGAGTTAAGACAAGAGACAGAAGCATCAGCTCCATGGTCGGCAACAGAGACCTGCTAGGTTCAACATCACACAGGAGACAGACGCACCCTGAAGCTGGGAGGCATCTGGTCTGTTGTCTTTCTGTATTATGACAGTAATGGCTCAGTATCACTGCTAGATGAGTAGACACACACACATAACCAAACAGACACACAAGATGAGATCAGTGTGTGATTAGAGGTGTTTCAGTCGACTATGTCTCCTCTGCAGTTTGTTTAAAAAAAATCAGACTTTTGTTATAACAGTGAAAATATAAAAAAAAAGGTCCTGATGGGACCAGTACTGAATTCCAGGTGGCCAAACTGGTTGTTTGCTTTCATGGTACCACAATTGAAATTCACCCTAAAAACACACCAAGACGAGGTGGCCGAGTGGTTAAGGCGATGGACTGCTAATCCATTGTGCTCTGCACGCGTGGGTTCGAATCCCATCCTCGTCGCAGGTTCTTTAGTCTGTCCTGAATGTGACATGTCAACAAGATAACATGCTCCATTATCAGTGAAACAATCAGCTCAGATCCTCCAGACCTCGTCCAAAGCAGCCATCTGATATCTAACATACAGTTTCCATGTGAAAACAACATGTGTCTACACCAAAGTTTACTGATGGCTGCATTAAAGAGCTCTGAACTACAGGAACACTGCTACATCTCAACTTCATCCTCTGTTAACATGCTACAAAACTAAACTGGGATCAGAAACCAACCAATCAGCTCCAGGCAGGTGTTGAGATATGGAGCCTTACTGGCAGATCCAGAGAGCGCATCTTCAGAGAGCCACAGTACAGCTTTGAAGAGAACCATGAACAGCTGATCAGCCGTCTGACTGACAAGACAGCTTTTACTGCAGCTGTGACATTCACTGGAACCACATCTGAGTCACTGAACGCACCACACACACTGCGCGCGCGCACACACACACA